TAAAGAGCGAATTATGACACGCATGTCATCTACGGAATATTTTACGGGACATGGCCTCAAGACACTCGCAGCCATTTCATTATATAGATATAAGCCAAATATGATATGATGAGGTGTTTTTATACAAATACCATAAATTAAGGGAGTGGTAATGAGAAAATTATAACATTCACGCCGCAAATGGGCTTACATACATGTCACGCTCATGGTGGGCTTGCGGTAATTTTGCTATAGTATGATACATACCAAATTTGATAAGACGTAACCATAGGTCGGCAAAACTTATGCAGCTCACTCAGATTGAGACTGACGGCTTGGTCGGAGTATGATTGAGTCGACTCGTGAGTGAGATGGTCAACCTATGGACGTCACTGCATGATGAACATAAAGGGCAAATGTTAACATGGAAATCATGACATGCAATCATGAACCACGTGATTTACATGCCACGCTCTAGGTGTGCTTGCGGCGATTTCGCTAGTTTAATATACAGCGAAGTTTGCATTGCATAACGCTGTATGATGGGCATAAATGACGATTTCTAACATGCAAATTCTGACATCCATGTCTTAATTGCACAGCATGTCTTCCTAGTGGCTCCGCATTATGCATAGATTACTACTCTGCACGGGATGTGTTTTTTTTTTCTTTTCCAGGAGAGCATCCTGCCCCTTGAGAGCCAAAGAAGGCCATAAGACTACAATGTAGTCAAGCCTTATGACGCTGTTGTTTATGTTACGAGTAACACGCCGCACTTCGAGAGTCAATGAAAGCTACTGTGCGTGCTCCTCACAGCAGCCTACCCATGAGTGGGGCCATGTGTACGTGTCAGGTAGTTAGAAAGTCGCGTATAAATTGCTGTGTGAATTTACGAGAACTATATATATATATACGCACCTGGGACAATGTTTTTTTTTCAGTTTTCTGCTGTAACAATGCTTCAGAAACAGGCGGGAACACTAGATTACTGTATACCGTGAAAATTTACAAGTGATTTTGCAGGCACATTTTTAAAGTGCATGTGGCTATAGTTTGTAGTGAATTTACGCTCCATGAAAATTCACTGGTATCTTAAAGTACTGAACTGAATAGCAGCCAGTAATGTGATCTAAAGTCTGCAGTCTACATTTCGTCGGCGGAAAGCCTTCGACTGCAGATCCAGCAATTTTCTCTCGTACGCTGGTGCCGTTTTAGATGCCAAGGATGTTATGATCGAGTTCGATCCGGTGTGCAGCGTGACCACCCTTACTGCGCATGCGCGTCCTCTCCCCGTCTCTCTTCTCTCTTACATTCCCCGCTCACTCGCCTCGCAACGCCGACGCAGCCAGCGTCTGCTAGCAATTGCTCCTCCCTCTTTCCCCTCGAGGCATCCCTCCACGCTGTGTTTACACCCCCATTGCGCATGCGGGTCCCCTATCCCTCTCTCCCCTCTTTTACGCTCCATCCTCTCTAGCCCCACACCACCAACGCAAGCAGTGTCTGCTAGCGAGTTCTTTGATAAAAAGAAAAACGACTACTAGCGCTGCACAACCGTTCACTGGCTAGGTGGGTTACGTCAAGGTGTTGAGGAACCAACCAACCAAGCAACCACCCCGTATCAGGCACTAGCTGGATCTTGACCTCCGAAGTAGGGCCGGTGATACAATTCTCTTATGCGTTGTTGAACAATGAAACTTGGCAGAGTGCGCGTTATACTTAATTAAAAGTGAACTGAGGGTCTCTGTGTCCAATAGGAGTCCTGTGTCTCTCATTCATTAGCAGTGGTTGGCATGTTAAAGTAGGAAACACCGGTCCATCACTGCGTGCTTGGCGCCTCCCCAGGTTCCTCTCCTGCGCAACGCCACGATGAGAGCCAGCGTCAGCGCCACCGCCAGTGTAAGCGTTAGCACCCACTGCTTCACATCTATTCATGGTTTCCTTTAGCCGAAAAAAGTAATTTTTTTCCACCATCAGTTCCTCTATCAATGCAGTTCACAGACTGCGCAGCTCGTAAGCAGGAATCATACGTAAGAATAAGCCCCGCATGCCTGAACAAATACATCTGGACCGCGAGATTTTAAAAATTTATTCCCCTTGTGCTGCAGTTAACCTAATCAGCATTGCACGTGCAATAAGCCACGCTATCTATTGCACTCTGTGAGAGCTAAGATATCATGTGCAAAGCTGGCACGTGGCAAAGTTACTCAAGGAGTCATGCAAATGCAAATTGTGATCAACCACCTATATATAGCTGGCTATATATAACGAGGGATTATATTTCTTAGAGTGAGGAATTAAAGATACGTAATAGCTATTATCACATCAGGTATTGCCTCTCGCTCACATGGAAACCTGGCAAATGTGAAGCTATCCGCTTGAGCAGCTTTAATGCACCAACAGGTAAGTACGATGAATAGGGCACTGTGCTTTGATTACAGCACATCATTTATTTATAGGCTTTATCGCAATGCTTTCGTAATAGAGTGAAGCTTGACCATCCTTTAGTGATGTCACTTTGTTGGCCTGAAACGGACGCGCCAAAATACATATTCGGCCTGAGCGGTCGCATATGCTTACATTTGTCTTATGCACAAAAGGCCTGTGCATGCATTTAATTCATATCATGTTGATATCACTTAATGCGCTTTACTGCTCATGCTGGCTTTACCGCAGTGCTTTCGCAATGCAGTTAAGCTTGACCATACTTCAGTGATTGTCCTTTTATCTGCCTTAAGTGGACGCGCCAAGATGCATATTTGGCCACAGCAGTCGCAAACGCTTATATTTGTCTCATGCACAAGTGCCCTGTGCATGCATTTATTTCATATCGTGTATAAATGCACTTGGCTGATGTTGTTGCTCCACGAGCTGTAACCTGCCGGTCTTTCATTAAACACTTTCGCAGTTATGAAGCCAGTGCATATTTCCCATAGGGGCAAAACTTCAGACAGCCTGATAACTTTTTTACGAGTTCACATGCACCCAGTGCTCCACTATGGCCTTGTGAAAACTGCATCAATCAATATAACTGACATGTTTGAACTTGCTCTTATGTGTACTGCGACTTATCGAAGTTTTGTAATAGCTCTATCGTTGACACTAGGAGTGATGCATTTTGTGAAAGTGTCACGGATACAAAACTTCGGACATTCATTATTTTATGAAGTATTCCAAATAGTGCAGTAAGGTAAACATTTCGTCGAGTTGGAAACGATGCAATCTTGGAGAAAAGCCACGAACACGATGGAGACCCAAGACGAGAAAGACTCAGTACTGCGTCTTTGTCTTGTGGCTTCGTCGTATTCGCGTTCGTTTTTCAAGTATGTATCAAAGCACTGATAACGCTCTGTTTCACTGATTGATTAATTGATTTGTGGGGTTTAACGTCCAAAACCACTATATGATTATGAGAGACGCCGTAGTGGAGGGCTTCGGAAATTTCGACCACCTGGGGTTCTTTAACGTGCACCCAAATCTGAGTACACGGGCCTACAACATTTCCGCCTCCATCGGAAATGCAGCCGCCACAGCCCGGATTTGATCCCGCGACCTGCGGGTCAGCAGCCGAGTACCTTAGCCACTAGACCACCGTGGCGGGGCGCTCTGTTTCACTGCCAGCAGCCTTTTGTGTGCAAGAAAGGGAGCTACATTTTCTCTGAGCCTGCAAAGCAAGCATGCGCGGTTACTTAATGTGAGATAAATAAAAGACACAAATTAAGAATGACCAGTTGACGGCGTGTGTGTCACGACAAAATAAGGAGTCCGCACACCCACGATGTACAAGATACGAGTCCTTGGCCTCTGGCTGGAAGAAAACGGTGCCGATTCCGAGCTGGTCACCCGGCCGCAGAATAAAAAGGCAGCCGAGACGAACTTGATACGAAAGATCGCGAACAAGAGGAGAAGAATGAAAGAGCCCGATGTAGCGAGACTAATACAAGCGTATGGTTTAGGCCACGTCGCGTACGTTGCTGCTTACGTCAACTGGAGTAGGAGCGGAAGCAACAAGCTGGACATGACCATCCACAGGGCTTACAAAACTGCATTAGGCGTATTTCACTACACGGCCAAATGCCGGCTCTTTGAGCTGGGCGTGCAGAGCATGCTAGCCGAAATCATCGAAGCTCAGAGGTCCGCGCAGCTCAAGAGACTGTCGGGCATCAAGACCTGAAGAACCATCCTCGACTCCCTCGAGATTCATCACCTCGGGATGCGGGGACTGAAGGACGCGCTATTGCCAGCGGTCAAGAATGCTATAGTATATTCACATAGAATACGCCCAGAAACATACACCCAGTGCCCAATGCCGAATGGCGCAGATGCAGAGCGGAGGTGATCCTAAAAGAGCATGGCAGCCGAGACGTTGTCCTTTCTGCCGACGCTGCTAGATACCCCCGGTCCGACCGAAGACAACAGCAGAACGGGCGCGACCAACAACCGCGCCAATCGACACCTGCATTCTCCATGGCGGTGGTCGACACGAGGGAACGAACTCTGGTGACGGAATGCGCAAGGCTGTCATCTTCTGAGGCGGCAGAAGAAAGGGCCATAGCACTCGCAGTAGTTCATAGCAGAAACGAGGACACGCTTATCGTGACTGACGCCAAGACGGTGGTCTGAAACTTTACGAAGGGATGGGTCTCTGTCGAGGCGGCGCACATGCTAAGCGCCACAACCGATGATATCAAGTCTGGCGCGATTGCTGCCAAGTCTCTCAAGTAGTTCCCCGCGAACGTGGGAGAGCTTGCAGCGACTAAAGGTCTGACTTTCCGTTGAACCAAAACAAGCGCGCCCACTTCGTCGCGAGACTGCGAACGTGCCGCGACGCAGACGAAAGGGCCGCCGATGTGTGACACATCGACGATGGCGAGTCACCCTAGGTTGGAGGACATAATACCTGTGCGACGACGATAGCAGACCCCGAGGCCTTACAGGACTGCAAGGACATCATGGTTACTTTACACGAGATCATCAACCACTATAGGAAAGCGCGACGATATTCCCCGCCACCCCACATGCAGCTAGAGAGGTCTCAGGCGTCTGACCTGAGGTGTCTGCACACCAAAACATTTGAGAATCTGCGACACCTGCATAGACTGTGACCCTCCCTGCCACCCGGCTATCCATGGTGCGGGCATGAGACAGCTGACATGGCGCATATACTTTGGGAGTGCGATTGCGGTGTTCGCCGCCACTACTCGGACGAGCGTGAGTGTACCCCAGGACGACTGGCTGAGTGGTGGCAAGCCATCCATCTCAGCCCACGTGCAGTGGACCAAATTTGGGCGGTCCAGCGAGCCAGGCCTATTGCCAAGGACATCGCACGATGTTCAGTGGACGACGGCTCCTGGAAGCCTAGCCCGGGCCAGTCATTCCTCGTTGGATCTTCAATGAAGTTTATTACCTACCTATTGATAACAGGTTCTCATCGCAGCACTTTTTTGTTGTCCTCTTAAATTCTTGTCTTATGTGATATCTGTTTACAACCAAGCAAGTATGTGGTCTGTTTACAACCAAGAAAAATTTTACTAACATTTTTCTGTAAAATGACTGCTACAAAATAGAAATTGACCCCCTTCTTAGAGAGTAGTGCATAATTTAGCTGGAAGAAGACAGCCTCATCCAACGTCCTGACGACTTGACAACATGGTGAGTGCACTATTTGCTGGACCTGTACGAGATGAGGAAAACAGAGAAAAAAACAGATGAATCAAAGAATATAAACAATGGCACTTGCAACTTTCAACTTGCCCACCACTGTGGTGAAATGACTCCTGTTGTCATATGCGTTTTTTGCCTGTTGGTCCATGGGCACAAGTACCAGTCTTGATTATTGAAGCTGCTTAGCATCACTTCATTGTAAGACCTTTCTCTATCCGCCACCCGAGAACGCACTCTGTAGTTGTCAGGCTCCACCTAGAGACTTGTGGCAGTGTGAAGTTAATATGGGCAATGTATGCAGTGACTTTGATTGCTGAACGGGAGCAAACTCATTGTGAGCGAATTTTATAATTGAATTCATAAAATATTTGATTGTAATATAACACCAAAAGGCTGAGGCATTCAAAATTCAACCTGCCCACATTAACAATCGCAGTGCCACAGGCATGCAAGAACTAGTTCTTGCATAATTATGAATCAACTAAACTGTTTCGATATATTGACCGGTTTTCAAAAATGACTATTTTTGAAAAATTCATATTACAAATTTTCCTTCCGAAGGGCAAGTTATTGTTGCTGAAAAAAACATATACAATATTGTCACGCAGCAAAGGACGACGCAGTTGTCTATGAGAAAAACAAGTTTATTGGAGCGAACCTGTGCTCCCCTAACAACTGAAAAAATACACAGGCGGCGAAGCAGCGGCCAGCAAAACGACGGGCACGCTAGTGAGCGTCGGTGATCGAATGACGCGGCATCGGCTGTGCGGGAATTTATATCCCTCGGCGCGAGGGTTTCTCGCATAGTCGAATTGTATCGAGAACGCCGTGATAGCGTTTGTTAGAAACGCTGTTCGTTCGAACAGCGTTTCTAACAAACAACGCTTGAAGCGTTGTTTCTATCGAACAACGCCTGAAGCGTTGTTCGATAGCGTTTGTTCGAAACGCTGTGGTAGCGTTTGTTCGAAACGCTGTGAAAACGGCGATAACACAGGCCGGCGCAGCCAGGCCGAAAAAACAAAACACAAAAAAACAAACCCAATGCATGGTTCGCGGCATTACCCCCCCTCTAAGAGTGCATCGACCCGATGCTAACATAAGGGACAGTCCACACAAATTAAAAGTTCGTCATCGTCCGTAGAAAGGTTTTAAGCGAACCACATGGACGACTTCGGGCCGCGTGCGTCGTCGTGATGTACGGGAGTCCCCATCGGGGATCACTTCGTACGTTAGTTCGCCAACACGTCGTAGAATCTGGTAGGGTCCGAAATAGCGTCGTAGAAGTTTCTAACTGAGTCCACGTCGTCGAATGGGAGTCTAAACCCACACACGATCTCCAGGATGGTACTCGGCGTCTCGGCGTCGGAGATTGTAGCGTCCGGCATCCACCAGTTGCTGGTCCGTTATACGAGCTCGAGCGAGCTGGCGGGCCTCCTCTGCACGTTGGAGGTATCCTTGGACGTCGGCGTTGAGATCGCCGTCTTCTACGTGCGGAAGCATGGCGTCGAGCATCGTAGTCGGCCGTCTTCCGTAGACGAGCTCGAGTGGTGTCATCTGCGTGGTTTCTTGAATAGCCGTGTTGTACGCAAACGTGGCGTACGGGAGGACTTCGTCCCACGTCTTATGTTCAACGTCGACGTACATAGACAGCATATCCGCGATTGTCTTATTGAGCCGCTCCGTTAGTCCATTCGTTTGGGGGTGGTACGCCGTCGTTCTTCGGTGATCTGTGTTGCTGTAGCGTAAGATTCCTCGCATGAGCTCCGCAGTGAAGGTCGTTCCGCGGTCCGTGATTAGGACCTCATGGGCTCCATGTCGCAGCACAATTTGGTTAATAAAGAACTTTGCAACTTCTTGTGCAGTTCCCCTAGGAAGAGCGGTGGTCTCTGCGTAGCGCGTCATGTAGTCTGTCGCTACGACAATCCATTTGTTCGCGGATCGGGATGTAGGGAATGGGCCCAGAAGGTCCATTCCGATATGTTGGAAGGGCCTCGTTGGGACGGCGATCGGCTGCAGAAGTCCGGCTGGTCTCGTCGGGGGTGTTTTTCATCGCTGGCAGTCACGGCAGCTCCGGACGTAGTGGGCGACATCGGATGTAAGGCGGGGCCAGAAGCATTTCGCCTTGATTTTTGTAATCGTGCGAGCTGTTCCGAGATGTCCGGAAGACGGGTCGTCGTGGCATGCTTCCAAAATTTTGTCACGAAGGTCTGCGGGGATGACAAGTAGATAATTCGTTCTCGTTCCGGGGTTGAAATTCTTCTTCACTAGGATGGAGTTTTTGACGCTGAATGCTGGTAAGTTGCGCTTGAACGCCCTAGGCACGGCGACGTTGCGTCCTTCGAGGTAGTCGATCATGACGCGGAGGTCAGGGTCGGCACGCTGCTGGGCGGCTAGGTCGCTCTCTGTCACGACTCCGAAGAACGCGCTGTCTTCATCGGAGTCCTGTGGTGGTGGGTCGACGGGGGCGCGGGACAGGCAGTCGGCGTCGGAGTGTTTCCTGCCGGATTTGTAGAATATTGTAACGTCAAACTCTTGCAGGCGCAAGCTCCACCGCCCAAGACGGCCAGAGGGGTCCTTCAAATTGGCGAGCCAACACAGCGCATGATGGTCTGTCACAACCTTAAACGGTCTACCTTAGACGTATGGGCGAAATTTTGAAATGGCCCATATGATAGCCAGGCACTCTTTCTTGGAGGCAGAGTAGTTTCTCTCCTCCTTCGACAGACCACGGCTTGCATAGGTGATTACCTTTTCGTAACCGCTTTGCTTTTGGACGAGGACGGCACCCAAACCGATACCACTGGCGTCCGTGTGCATTTCCGTTTCGGCGTTTTCGTCGAAATGAGCGAGCACGGGCGGGTTTTGCAGGCGTTGTTGCAGCTCGCAGAATGCCTTTTCTTGGTCGTTTTCCCAGCCGAACTCAAATTTGGGTGCACGTTAAAGAACCCCAGGTGGTCGAAATTTCCGGAGTCCTCCACTACGGCGTCTTTCATAATCAAATGGTGGTTTTGGGACGTTAAACCCCACATATCATTATTCCCAGCCGAAAGGGGTGCTTTCTTTCGTCAGGCGCGTGAGTGGCTCTGCAATGCGTGCGAAGTTTGCGACGAAGCGCCGGTAGTATGCGCACAGTCCGAGAAACCTTCGCACACCCTTCTTATCTTTCGGCCTTGGGAAGTTCGCAATGGCTGATGTTTTTGCCGGGTGAGGTAGGACTCCCGCGGCGTTCATGACGTGACCCAAGAACTTGAGTTCCTCGTACGCGAAACGGCACTTCTCAGGCTTCAGCGTTAACCCCGACGTACGAATGGCCTCGAGTACAGATTCCAACCTTGTGAGGTGTTCGTCGAAAGTCCGGGCGAATACGACAACGTCGTCGAGGTATACGAGGCAAATGTGCCACTTCAGGCCTGCTAGCACAGTGTCCATGACTCTCTGAAACGTTGCGGGCGCCGTGCACAGCCCAAACGGCATCACCTTGAACTCGTATAGACCGTCCGGGGTTATAAATGCAGTCTTCTTTCGGTCTCTCTCGTCCACTTCAATTTGCCAGTAGCCGGTCTTCAGATCCATGGATGAGAAGTACTTGGCATGGCAGAGGTGGTCGAGGGCGTCGTCGATTCGTGGCACGGGGTACACGTCCTTTTTGGTGATTTTGTTTAGTCTCCGGTAGTCAACGCAGAATCTGAAAGTGCCATCTTTTTTCTTCACGAGTACAACCGGTGCAGCCCACGGACTTTTTGATGGCGGTATTATGTCGTCGCTGAGCATGTCATCAACTTGAGTCCGGATGGCTTCGCGCTCGTGTGAAGAAACGCGGTACGGTGACTGTCTGGTAGGTCGGGCTCCATCTTCGGTTATTATCCGGTGCTTCACCAAAGGTGTCTGACGTAACTTCGAGTTCGAGGAAAAACACTCGCTGTAGCGACGGAGCAACTCCAGTAATCTGTCCCGATTTTCTTGCGAGAGCGCCGGGTTCACGTCGAAAAGATGTGGCAGCCTGGAAGCATCTGCGCGTGCGCGTTCAAAGGTGGCGACCGCGATCACTTGACTCGCTTCTTGCGTTTCTTCGAGGAACGCAATTGCAGCGCCCTTGTTTAGATGCTGGTACTCCTCGGTGAAATTGGTCACCAAAACATAGAGAAATAAAAAAAGGTGAAGAGTGGACACTCCCGTAGACCCCAGCGGCCCAATCGACTCTAGCACACCTAGTGGTTGATGAGAGCAAGTGGCTTGCGCTTCCGGTTTCGGTTTCACTGGCGCAACTTTTGAATTACTTTGCATAACCGACGTTTGGCTATGTCTTAAGTTCATAATTTCAGACCACTATTCATCGCCCAAATGGATAGTTTTTGTAGGTCGTTTTGATTTAGCGATTCCCCGTTTTGTTTTG